CCATTCCACATTATTACAAATAACTTCATTTCTGGACATTTATGGTTTGATTTCTTTGTATGTATGGATCACTTGGGTTGTTACCGACATCTGGTGAAAATTTCATGTTATTAGCACCTCTAGTAATATATTTACTGAGAAAAATGGTGACGTGTTCAATACTTATTTTACCCGCTGTATGAGTTATGTTAGCAAAATACCCCCCTGCCTCACCTGTGTTGTACGCTGTGGGTATGGCGGAGAATGGCAGCCCCTGTGCCGGGAGGCTCGGCGTGGCTACAGAAACCACCGGTGTGGTGAGGGTCTGTGCCACCTGGGCTCCGGGGACCAGCCTCTGGGCATTCTGCCAGGGAAGAAACACAACGTGTCGTTACAACCCAGAAACCAGCGCCCATCGGTACCTCTCATCTCCACATGCTGGGAATGACGACGTGAACATGGCTGGATTCATGGCGCACATCAAGTAAACCTCAGGATGATGGTTCTGAGTGAGGCATGAAGAATTACATCAAAGGCAATTTATTCAACACCCAGTTACAAACAGTGTGCAAAAAACTGCATTTTATTCAAATCAGGCTTCAAGAAATGTCTTCTCGACAGATGTTACACATGAATAAACTCCCTCATGTATTACTTACAGATTACTAGTTTTAGCATTTAAAATAAAATCATTCCTTCTATTCATTTTTATAGTTTAAATCTTGTTAAGCTTAATTTAATGTCAAAAAGGATTCTTTAAATATTATATTTTCTTAAAATAAGGTTAAATGCTTAATGTTTAAATATCTAAACCAGAATAAAATATTCAGTTTTTCTAGCAGACACTATGTCGTATGTGTCAACCTGATAAATTGAACTGGAACAAAGATAAAAAGCAAATTCAAATTCGTTTTTAGGAGAGAAAAATACATATAAACATGTAGTATTAAAAAGGCCAAAGATTTAACAATTCTGTCCTGGAATTACTTTCATTTGCCAAAAGAAAACACTCATCAAGAATTGTGAGGAGCACTAATTGTACAAAAGGGAAGAAGCGACGGAGCGGAGAGGAGCGAGATTCAATTATCTGCCTCTGTGAAGGAGAAGGAGTGAGGAGAGGCGGCGAGGTGAGAGTGATGAAAATTAATCACCAGCCTCTGGAAAATGAGAATCCTGCCTGTCAACTTGGGAGACAAACTGTGCAAAAAGAGAGGAGAAACAACCAGCAGCAGTGGAGAGCTGAAATCATTACCTTTCCTCACAAAAAATACATTTATCTTAAATTTAATTAAGAATTCTTTCACTGAATAACAACTCTCCTTCGTTTCTTTCATTTGTAATCTGAACTGTAAAAAGAATATATTACTGGAGAAGGGGGAAAATAACATTACGTGCTTGACAGCAATTATTTTGTTCCTATTTTATTCCACAAATGGAAGATTCTGACGTTTAAATTCTAATTTTATTATCATTAATGACAGCTAACATGCACAATTATTTTTGTGCAAAATTAGCTCATGTAGGCAAAATTTATAAACCATTTTTTAACCAATAAAGACAAAAATGGATCAGTTTTATTATAATATTCTCAATAACACTTGTTTTAATGTAGTGATGATAAAAATCTCTCAGATGACAACAAAAGGAATCTTAATTAAATTATTTGGCTAATACAACCTCTCATTACACTTACTGTATAATTTAGTTTACGCAAAAGCATTAAAGTGCCTGTGACATGCATATTCATGAAATATAAAAAGTCAAAGAAAACATCTTTATGTTTAAGAAACTTGGTATAATACACATGATTTTACCCATTACATCCCATGATTGGAATATTTTCTTTTGAACTTTGCTCTGACAAAGTGAAACAGGAAGTGACATCAAAGGGGAACTCTTCAAGAAATAAAACTCTCTGGTTTTGTTTATAAAAACAATATATTTTGAACTCTGACTCTTCCTCATCTCTCTATTATAGTAATTTAAATAATCTAAAGAAACATCAGATTCTTCTCTACGGTCTGTGCTGTCGGCCTTTGTAGCAACGCTCTGTTCACGTTCAGACATTCCCCTTTGACATCACTTCCTGTTACTTTACATGCAAATATCTCAACAACTGTTCATCTCAGCTGCATGAAATCTTTTTTTACAATATGTTGTCGTTACCTTTCCAAAAATGCATTCATATTTATTACAAAAAACTGACGTCACAGGCACTTTAAAATGTAATTATAAAAAGGACTGATAAAAAAAAACAGAAAAAATTTGAGTTAAATGCCTTTAATGTAATTCCAGGAATTTTTTTAAAACTCTAAGATTTTAGGTGAACAGTGGAGATGAGTGTGTGTGTGTGAGAGTGAACAAGAAACATGCTCCGTGGTGGGGATTTTTCTTTGCCCCACAATGCAATGCAAGAAGACACCCATGCTTTAGGTGGCACCATACAGAACGATGAAGTGGGCCTGGTCCAAACCTGAAGAGGATTCTGAAAACCGTGGACGAATTAACGTACGAATAGGAGAGGGGTGGGGGACGCTTATAATCGCTAAAACGTCCATGATCGTTGAGGCTGAAGAAACGACACACTCATGAGTCCTGAACCGCATGCAGTCAGGTGGGGAGCGCAAACTCAAGACCATCCCAGGAAATGTCAGTGAGGCAAGACCGAAACAATAAGAAACTCCTGCAGAGTTCTGCAGTTCTGCATCCATGCTAATGATGTGTGGACCGGTACCGACTCATGCCAGTGACTGAAGCAGGAGGGGGGAAAAAAAATCACCTCGTTTACCAATTCCAGCTCATCCTCTGTCTGCAAAGGGTGGTAACAGAGATGGTTATAACTCTGGAATAACTGTCAAAATGTATGCGAAAAACCCAACTTCTATATCCGCATCACCTCATCAGCTTCTCCTCAGTTTTGGCTCATTATTTTAACTATTTTATTCTAGGAAACAGAACTGTAACACCACTTACCCTCAATTTAATGTCAGTCTGAACAAAAACGTAAATTAAAATAAATAAAAATTGGTGGCACTGATTGATTCACAGTTTATGCTCAAGAACAGAAACAGCCCTCCCAACAGGTTATGTTCAACGTAACTCCAAGTTTACTTTAGTTTCTTTATATGTTGAATGGAATAAACTAAAATTAAAAAAGTACAACTAACCACAGCACAAAAAGCAACAAAATATGTGTTTGGTTTTGTGGTCAAATTGTTAAGTAAATGCATCCAGACAGTCCAAGTTGGGCTCAGCTGGTCTCACCATCTGCATGAGGCTCTTTCCGCCCTGTGAGGTGATGACTCGGAGGTCTGGCTTACGGCTGTTGATCTGTGGGCTGGGAGGCGGGGGTGGAGACTTGGCCGGAACTACTTTCCCCAGACTGTTGCTGTTGGAGACGGTGAGCAGACCTGGGGAGGCCCTGGCACTGGTGTATCCATTAGCTGCAGGGGGACAGAGGGGGATTGATAGCAAAAAATAAAATAAAAAAATCAAAACAGGTGAATGCACACAGCGGGGTACAGACGGTGAGCCAGTTGTGTTACATAATCCTCCAAAGCTCTCAAACTGCTCTGAGAGGGAATAACTTCAAAAAAAGGTGCTTGTAAATGTCATGAGGACAAATTACTGATAGAACTGAACACAATGCACTTTTATTTCCTCAATTAAACCGTCTTTAGCTTCTACTCACATGCCTTCCAGCTGACTCAGTCACAGATGAACAGCTTTCTACTGTTCACACCTGGCATTAAAATGTGTCTGGAGCAATCAGATCTCAGCTACCTGCTGTAATGTGTAATTAACATGTAACCACACCACTCAGTGAGCAGCAAACGTGACAGAAGCAGCTCTGATGCTCCTTTAAAAAAGCACAAATACATTCAGCTACCTTGACATTTACATGGTTTAGAGTCACTTGAGTAACTTAACATCAGTGCTGTGATTAAACATATACAGCGGGTAAAATAAGTATTGAACATGTCAACATTTTTCTCAGTAAATATATTACTAGAGCTGCTAATGACATGAAATTTTCACCAGATGTCGTTAACAACCCAAGTGATCCATACATACAAAGAAATCAAGTGTTCAATACTTTTTCCCTGTGCCATTCCACATTATTACAAATAACTTCATTTCTGGACAT